CCTTGACCTGCTGGTGATTTGGGGGATGTTGGCCATCTTTGCTGCAAGGGTGCCTGTGGATGGGTCGTGTTCCCCTTTTTGATGGGTGCCTGGGTTGGTTTGTCCCCAGGGGCAGGACTTGGTGTTTCCCTTTAAACTTCTTGAGATTCATGGGTCACCTCACTGTCTCCTGCCTGTTGGTGTCCCTGTGAATGGCAGCGCACCCCTCTGGGGTATTGACCTCTCCTCCTGGTTTTGTGTTACCTGCAAACATGCTGAGGGTGAGCTCTGTCCCATCACCCATCTTGTTTAATGAAGATGTTAAACTGTCCTGTCCCTGACCCCTAGCGTACAGCAGTAAGTCCAGGTCTGCAGCTGGGCTTTGTGCCACTGGTCCCAGCCCTTGGAGCCTGGCAATTGAGGCAATTTTCTGTTCTCAGAGGCCTGGGATTCCTAAGGACTGCTCTTGTTGGTAACAGTATGGCAGTAGTCTAGTCGTATGAGCTATGCTGCTGTCTCAGTGACCCCATTGAGAGCATAGCCCTGCAACTTGCACGCAGACGACTAATTCTTCCTGCTTGGCCGCTGTGCTGTGTGTCTGTGTTGGTGTATAGTCACTTCACAGAGGCACCCAGTCATGCTGATTTGCTAGAAAAGGTATTAGAACTTCCCCCATCGTGCTGTCCTGTAGGCAGCGTTTTATCTATGTGCTTACGTTTGAGGTGTGGCCCTGATTAGCTCTCTTTTTTTTGTTTACGAGATCTCTCTTGCCTATATCACTCTGTACACTTTGCTTCCCAACCTGGTCTACCACTTCCTCGTTTGGCTATGGGTTGTCATCTACCTCCCCCTGACGTTGCTGATGTCCTTCTCATGGAGCTGCCCCAACCCTCTACCTGCCAGGAGAAGCCTCTTAGTGGAGCTGCTGCTGCATTGTACCTCTGAGGTGTTTACAGCTACTACTGCTGTTTTCTCCAGAAATTAAATCTAGCCCTGTGTGGTTTATAATTCCTTAGCCCTTCCTTGTTCCCCTTTCATCCTCAGAAAGCACTGTTCTTTTATGCTTTGTGCAGACTTGCATATCTTTCTGGGGTTGTAACAGGAGATTGCCCTACCTGCTTACCCATGGTTTCACTCAACCAGGCAGGCAGACAGTGGAATTGTTACCGAGGCCAAGGCAGATTACGCCTCGTATAACAACATCCTCAGTAATGAAAGAAAGATGGGTCCTTGTAGTATGTGACTATTCTGAAGGGAGTGGAAGGTCCCATATGTAGACCAGACCCAATCTGTAGTGAAGTCTGCTTTTTCCCTGGGGCCCAAGTTAAGGATGTCCAGAGGAAACTCCCTACCCTAGTTTGGCCTATTGACTACTATCCATTAATGATTTTTCGGTTAGGCAATGATGAAATTTCAGGAAGAAGCCTAAAGGCAATGAAGAAAGACTTCAGGGCCCTGGGACGGCTGGTTAGGGGATCAGGAGCACAAGTAGTGTTTGCTTCTATCCCACCAGTTGCTAAGATTGATGAGAAGATAAACAGGAAATGCCAGCTGATCAATGCCTGGCTCGGAGACTGGTGTCATCAGCAGGACTTTGGGTTCTTTGATCATGGGCTGCTTTTCAAGACACCAGGCCTGCTGGCAACAGACGGTAAAAGCCTGTCTCGCAGGAGTTGAAAAGGGTTTTAGGGCAGGAGTTGAAAAGGGTTTTAGGGCAGGAGTTGAAAAGGGTTTTAGGGCAGGAGTTGAAAAGGGTTTTAGGGCAGGAGTTGAAAAGGGTTTTAGGGCAGGAGTTGAAAAGGGTTTTAGGGCAGGAGTTGAAAAGGGTTTTAGGGCAGGAGTTGAAAAGGGTTTTAGGGCAGGAGTTGAAAAGGGTTTTAGGGCAGGAGTTGAAAAGGGTTTTAGGGCAGGAGTTGAAAAGGGTTTTAGGGCAGGAGTTGAAAAGGGTTTTAGGGCAGGAGTTGAAAAGGGTTTTAGGGCAGGAGTTGAAAAGGGTTTTAGGGCAGGAGTTGAAAAGGGTTTTAGGGCAGGAGTTGAAAAGGGTTTTAGGGCAGGAGTTGAAAAGGGTTTTAGGGCAGGAGTTGAAAAGGGTTTTAGGGCAGGAGTTGAAAAGGGTTTTAGGGCAGGAGTTGAAAAGGGTTTTAGGGCAGGAGTTGAAAAGGGTTTTAGGGCAGGAGTTGAAAAGGGTTTTAGGGCAGGAGTTGAAAAGGGTTTTAGGGCAGGAGTTGAAAAGGGTTTTAGGGCAGGAGTTGAAAAGGGTTTTAGGGCAGGAGTTGAAAAGGGTTTTAGGGCAGGAGTTGAAAAGGGTTTTAGGGCAGGAGTTGAAAAGGGTTTTAGGGCAGGAGTTGAAAAGGGTTTTAGGGCAGGAGTTGAAAAGGGTTTGCTGTTTGTAAACAGGGAAGGGCTTGTGGGGCATGTGATGGTAGGAGACTGTCTTGGGAACAATGATCATGAAATGATAGAGTTTTTGATTCTGGGAGAAGCAAGGAGAGGGGTCAGCAGAACTATTACCTTGCACTTGTGGAGGGCAGACTTTGGGCTTTTCAGCAGCCTGGTTGACAAAGTCCCTTGGGAGGCAGTCCTCCAGGGCAAAGGAGTCCAGGAAGCCTGGATGTTTTTCAAGACGGAAGTCTTAAAGGCACCGGAGCGGGCTGTCCCTGTGTGCCGAAAGACAAGCTGTCAGGGAAAAAGACCAGCCTGGCTGAACAGGGAGCTAGGGTTGCAATTTAGGGAGAAAAAGAGGATTTATGGCCTTTGGAAGGAAGGGAAGGCCGCTTGTGAGGACTACAAAGAGGTAGTGAGGCTACGTAGGGAAAAAATTAGGAGGGCCAAAGCCCAGCTAGAACTAAACCTGGCTTCTGTTGTCAAGGACAACAAAAAAAGTTTCTATAAATATATTAGCAATAAAAAGAGGACTAAGGATAATCTCTGTCTTCTAGTAGACCGGGCCAGTAACCTAGTGACCAAGGATGAGGAAAAGGCTGAGGTACTTAACGCTGTCTTTGCTTCAGTCTTCAGCAGTAGGACCAGTTGTTCCCTGAGTACCCAGACCCTTGAGCTAGAAGACAGGGATGCGGAGCAGACTGAAGCCCCTGTAATCCAAGGGGAAATGGTGAGGGACCTGCTTCAGTGCCTGGAGGTACACAAATGTATGGGGCTGGATGGGATCCACTCGAGGGTACTGAGAGAGCTGGCAGAAGTCATCACCAGGCCACTTAGCCAGGACTGCTCATAAATGGTGCAAAGTGGAGAGGTCCCAGCTGCCTGGAGGTTGGCAAATGCGACACCCATCCACAAGAAGGGCCGGAACGTGGATCCAGGGAACTGTAGACCAGTCTGACCTCAGTACCTTGGAAGGTCATGGAACAGATCGCCCTCAGTGCCATTACGCAGCACATGCAGGAGAACAGGGTGATCAGGCCCAGTCAGCATGGGTTTGTGAAAGGCAGGCCATGCCTGACAAACCTGACCTTCTATGACAAGGTGACCCACTTACTGGATGAGGGAAAAGATGTGGATGTTATCTACTTGGATTTTAGCAAAGCTTTTGACACTGTTCCCCACAGCATTCTCCTGGAGAAACTGGTTGCCCATGGCCTGGACAGGTGTACTCTTTGCTGGGTAAAGAAACTGGCTGAATGGCCATGTCCAGAGAGTGGTGGTAAATAGAGTTAAATCCAGTTGGTGTCTGGTCACAAGTGGTGTCCCCTAGGGCTCGGTGCTGGGGCCAGTTGTCTTTAATATCTTTATCAATGGTCTGGATGAGGGGATTGAATGCACCCGCAGTAAGTTTGCAGATGACATTAAGCTAGGCGGGCGTGTTGATCTGCTTTTTCACTGGAAGGGTTATTACACATTGCAATAGGCTGTGCAGGGAGGGGGTGGATTCACCATCCCTGGAGGTGTTTGAAAAAAGGGTAGATGTGGTACTTGAGGACATGGTTTAGAAGTGGTTTTGTCAGGGTAGGTTAATGGTTGGACTTGATGATCTTAAAGGTCCTTTCCAACCTCAGCAATTCTATGATTCTATGATTTCACTGGAAGGGTTATTACACATTGCAATAGGCTGTGCAGGGAGGGGGTGGATTCACCATCCCTGGAGGTGTTTGAAAAAAGGGTAGATGTGGTACTTGAGGACATGGTTTAGAAGTGGTTTTGTCAGGGTAGGTTAATGGTTGGACTTGATGATCTTAAAGGTCCTTTCCAACCTCAGCAATTCTATGATTCTATGATAGTGCTAGTGGAGGGAGGGGGGCGGAATCTCTGGCTGGTTACACTATTATTGTGTACTAAAATGATTCAAGAAGTTGCTGGACAGCCTGTTTAACTTTATTCCTCTTGTCGTTCATGTCGGTCATTTCCTCATAACCATGTCCTGTGCATTGAAAGATTTTGGTCACTTTCTCTTTAAGTAAAGCCACTCTGCATCTCATGTGTTCAGGTCTGAAGTACTGATGATCTGAGATTGTGCAGGATGTTGGACAGGGGAGTCCATCTTAGGCTACGTGCTGAGGCAGCAGGCTCATTGTCGTGCAGTTGCCACAGTGGGGGAGGGTTGAAAGGTTTTTCCATCAGTCTTTATTTCAGTGACCTTTTCCAAGTTAGGAATAGCAGTTGACTAGGAAAAGCTGAAACAGTCATTTCTCTTCAGTGAATCCATACAGTTTTCTCTCAAATTCTGTAATCTAAAAAATAAACTGAAATTGAGAAGGTAATATTTTCTGTTTTCAAAATGCCATTTCTGCAAATCTTTGACTTATTGAGCTTCCCACGCAATACATATTTGGAATTTATTAAACTGCTGTATGTGAAGACTCCCATGCTTAATGCTTCCAGCAGCTTGCTAAGTGAAGTAGAATAAAAGTTCAAAGTAATGTCAGCATGTGAAATGTTAACAAGTAAAAGCATGATAAGATTCTTCAAACTTTCACAGGGACTTAATTTTCATTTTCATTTTCATGGTGTTTAATTGTGTGACTACATAGTTTTCACAAACTGTTTGCTTATTCTTTCAGGCTGAAGGTTTCGGAACGGATGTTGGAAGATGTTAGCTGTGGATACCGGGGTTGTGGAGGAGTGGTTATCAGAGTTCAAGGTAATGTACTCTCAGATGTTTAGCCAGTCGTGTTTGAATTGCTGCTGGAGCAGTATGCAAGAGTGCTTGATTGCTGTAGAAAATGAAGAAAAATAGTAACCTTGCGTTTTGCTGAGATAATGTGATATATGCAAATGTCTGCCTGAAAGGATTTTTTTGATTGTCCTCTTTGGGAATTACATACTTCCTGGTAGAAAGCAGTGAAAATGTATATCACAGATGAATGGTCTTGTTGGTTTGAATATGGACTAGACTTGACTATAGGTTTTGCTCCTGGTCTGCTTGGGTACACTGGGAAAGTGTTTTCCTATCTGTATAATGGAGTATGATCTCCTTTGAAGGAATGCAGATAAGTACTGTAAAAGCTATGAATAATAAGTTTAAATATACAGCTTCCAAAGGGTTGTCAAAGAGGTTGGATTTTTACCCTCCTAAGTACTGGCAGAAAATCTGTTTTGTGTTAAAGAGCTGCTCACGTCAACTGGAATTTGTGTTCTTTCAGAGTAATACTATATCCTGTAATAATGTTCATGAGCTGTGTACAGTCAGCCTTGATAAAACTCCTTAACGTATGGATCTGCAAACTGCTAAGTTTTGCAGTACTGAAATTTCACAGTGAAATTTCATTGGGATTGCACATGGATTGTAGTCTTGGGGTTTTTTTTATCTATTTCCCATCCACTGTCATTATGTTCTGTATGAAACAGTCTGCAAAATAATAAAATGCAGTGTGTCTTCTGGCAGTTTTGTTGTCCTGAAAACATGGTGATTTCCATAGCAAGGATTTTTTTGTGAAACAGATTTTAGTCTACTATAAACTCTGGTAAGTGGTAACTTGTAATGGAAAATTGTTGTTGAAATAGCTGTTATATTATAATGACAAAAATTGCTTTTTCTAGTAGTTATAATATTTTTATTTCAGACACTGCCAGAAGCATCCATATCCAGCTATGCTACAAACTTGAAAGACAAGAGTGCTTTGATTTCGTCTCTTTACAAAGTAATTCAAGAGCCACAGAGTGAAGTGAGTATACTGGATCCCTCACATAAAATGGCTGACATAACACCAGCAGAATAAAATAAGACCTTGTGTGCTAGTTAATTGTGTTCTAACTATGTGAACTACAGAACCACATGAAGAGTCTCTGTCAAAATGTTTGTTCTTAGCAATGACATACTACCATGGAAACAATTCATAAGTTTTGTAACCTACTGATCATAGCTAAGCTTGTAGATCATACTTCTGGGCTTCAGGACCTGAGTATAGAATTGCAAAATATGTTAAGGGATTGAAAAGATGTTTGACAGAATTCTTTCTGTAATTGAGAATCACTTGAATGTAAATCTATAGCTATCAGAAGCTTGTCTATTAGAACCTAAGAGAACAAGGTTAGATAGGTTTGCAATTTTTTTAAGTTATTGCTTAGATTTTAGGTTTTTTGTTCTTGTTTTAAATACATACAATATAAATATACACCTTTCTACAGTGGATGTACCCTTGCTGCAATGATGGCAAAAAAAGAAAAAAGTTGGCAGGAAGGGGACAGGCTTGCTCTGTACCTGTGCTAGGTGTGGTTCCATACCCCATGACTGCACTTTGTTTTAAAGCATCCGTGTGAGTTCAGAACATACTGAGCTGGTTTTAGTTGTGTCTTGTTGTCTGAATTGTCTCACTTTCTACCATCCAGCAAACCTTTGTGTATTATTTCAAAATTGCACTAAGTCCTTAATTCCTCTTCTGAAAAGACCCAGTATATGGAACCTTTCCAAAGGAACCTTTCCAAAGTTTGAGATGATGCCAGTAGTGGTCATAGGATGAAATGCTTTCAGTATGTATGTTTTTAGAGAGAATACTGGTAGAGAAACTCCCAAGTTGTCCAGCAAAGAAGAAATATAATTTTACTTTGCTGCTCGGAAAGACATTCTGAGTCATTCCAACTTCTGAGTCAAGCCTGTCTGGTCTTCAGAATGTGTATCAACATGTAAATTAATCTGATGAGTCTCCCTGTTGATAGCCAAATTGATGCTTTCATATGTTCTTTGATTTCTTACTACTTCTAGCTAACACTAGGTCTCAGGGGCCTTAGCTGCAGGGTGGTCGAGGCCCTGCAAATTCTGCTTGAAAAGGTTGTTGAGATAGTTCTGGGGGCAGGGTATTGAAGATTTCCCTCTCAGTGAGACTTTGAATTGAATGCAAAAGGCAGTGCTGACATTGTGTTGCGCTGCCTTGGGAAAAAAGTGCTAAAATCTTTATTTTGACTGTTCTCCAAGCACCTGTCACTTTGTGGAAAGGGCTACTTGGACTTTTCTGCATTATGAAAATACTTATAAACTAGCAGTTAAAAAACAAGTAATTTCTTTCAACTGTTATTTGAGATTTGTTAGCTCCATTGTGTAATGACAACTTGCTTTACGGTGTAGGATATTTGCTGTCCTTTCTTATCTCATGTATATAATGCAAAGGGGAAAGATTAATGTGTGAACTCTACAAATACTGCTGAGATTAAAAACAAACAACCCCATCTGTATACCTTTGAATATATATACTTCTAATATAATAATTATCTGTACCTTAAAATTGTGGTTAATCTCATTTTGGGGGATGGATGTGTTCCTTTTTTTTAAGCATTTGAAAAGTAACCATGTGTATTTGTATCTGTGACAGCATCTTCCTGCTGGTTAATGTTTGCTTTTCACAAAGGTTTTTTTGGTTTGCTTTTAAAAAAAATTAATAATCAATTTGAGAAAAATGAACTACTTGTTTGCTATAGCAAATAAATTTCCAATTCATAGTAGCTGTGTTAGCAAAGACTTTGTTAGTTACTTTTGAGGTTCCTGGGCCACTGATAAGTGAAAAAATGTAATTCAATACAAGGAGTATCTTCAGGAGATGTGAAAATTTAAAGGACTCTTAGTTGACTCAAGAGTCCAAGAGTTATAAAAAAAAAAAAAAAGTTCTGAGGTATGTTTCTTCACAAATTCTCAAGATTTTTTCTGCTTTCTACTAAAACGCTATTGCTGTCCTTTTAGATAGTAGCCACGCAGGCATTTGCATTAGGAAATAGGAACTGTATGGAGTGTCTAACACATCGGGGTGCAGCTTAAAAGGAAGAAGGATGAAATTGCTTGTATGTTCTTCTGTTCCAGCATTAAAAATTGTTTCAGTCTAGATACCTTTTAGAACGGTTTTAGTGTAAAACAATATCTTGAAACAGCAACAATCATTAGTGCGTTTTGATATTAGTTGTAGCATGTGGTGGCATTTTGAGGAAGAAAATCTGGCTTTGTACTGATTACGCATTTAAATGTGCTGATATAAAGCTGTCTCAACTGAGATAACGATGTGAACATGGGTACCTGTTATAGCTATTTATGTGCCTTTTAAAGTTCAAGCACATCATTCTGAACTAATACTTCATTAAAGGAAGCATGCAAATTGTGTGAAGTATGTAAGCTGAAGATGGAAAACACTTGTGCTGGTAAAGTTTTCTAGAAGGATCTTTGATATTCTGCTTTTAAAACTGACTAGTTTAGCTGGGCGTGATTTTTTTGCCTTTGCTGCAAATTTTTCACAAATTATTTTTCCAAAGGGAAGTTGTATCTATCACAAGCTAAAAGTTTCTCTTATTTCGAATGGATCAGATTGTCCTAAATTGCTTCTTAAAAAGAACTAAAACCTTCTAAGATCCTTTGGGTTCAGAAGTCACTTTGGGAAGTAAGAAATGTTCACTCAACTTTCTAGTCAGGAGGAAAAACTTAGGAAAGCAATCAGACCTTTTTTCTAGCACGCTCTTTGGTGGTGGTGCCTTCTTTGCTGCAGTAAAGGGAGGAAAATACAGCAGAATGGGTTTCTTACCTTTTTGAAAGCTTGCTCCATTGAAAAGCTGAAGGTGACCTAGACAAATAGCAGAAGAACTGAGTGTTGTAGTTAGAATAAAATGGAAAACATGGTCTGCATGATGCTAGCAGTAAAGTATATATCTATATTCCAGTTTTTAAGGCTTTTCAGAAAGGGGTTGCGTAATACTTTGCTTTCTGAACTGAAGTGCGGTGTCAATTCTGATTATTATGGTATCTTTTCTCAGTGCAGTCTCTAAAATACTCCAAAATGCATGTCTGATTTGGATTCCATCATTTTCAGGTTGAGACTATCGGGAATTTTATGCAGCAATACATTTCAGTGAAGGTCTATTACTAGCCTGAACATTCCTGGTTTTGAAATTAATTTAGAGCCTGTTTCTGTGAGTCACGTAGATGAACTGTTAATATGTTAAATCTTGGAGGTAAGAAGCAAGGTAGCAAAACTAGTCCTTTAGGTGTGTTACATTTGAATCCTGTCTTTCAGAGATTTGCATTTGGAGGGTGTCACATTTTATGTGAAGCTTTTTTTTATATACTAGCTGGAGCTGATAAGATAAATTCTAAATAGCTGGAATATCAGATTTTGTCTTGTAAAGTTTGCTAATATAAATGCATCAACTGCCTAGATTCTTTTTCAGGGAGCAGCTTCTTAGATGATAGGGTCCTCCTATTTGTTATTACTCACAAATAAATGATTTAGAAGATTTAATTAAAAATCCCCCTTTCCCCTTGCCTTCCTCCCCCCCGGCCAGGCCAGAGAGAGCAGAACTTGTGAGGGAGCTTTCTCCTTTGCATAGTCTCCAAGCCTTTCACTAGGATTGCACAGCTTGGTCTGAGGATAGAGCTGGGAGCAAGTTCTGGCCTCCTGATCTCAAGGACACAGACCCTTTAGATGATGCAAGCCCACCTTCACAGGTACTTTCCCTGTGTATTAGAGACATTAGGACATTGTATGAAGTGTGGTGATAACAAGTATCTTCTGTTTATGCCTTTGAGTCTGGAGGAGGTGAACCAAATTAAGAGAAAGGAGCCACTGGAATTCTTCACACGGGATGGAAAGCTCTACTTTTATTGTCTGAAAGTATGTTAAATGAGATGAAAAGTGTGGAAGGCGACTTGGGCAGTTATTTCATTAGTCACTCCCTAATAGCTAAAATGTAACATTTATCAGTTTGCAGTTTTGTCCAAAGGATTGATCCATGCAAAGTTGTAGTTTCTTGTAATGTCTTATTCATTCACAACTGTAATCTATATTTCAGCTTCTGGAGCCAGTTTGCCATCAGCTCTTTGAATTCTATCGCAGTGGTGAGGAACAATTGCTACGATTTACGCTGCAGTTTCTACCAGAATTGATGTGGTGCTATCTTGCTGTCTCAGCCAGCAGAGATTTGCAGAGCAGTGGATGCATAGAAGCTCTTCTCCTAGGAGTTTATAATTTGGTTTGTATTCACATGTAATTATTCAGGTCTAAAAATACTAGTGTGCTTTTTGGGGATACTATAGAGTATTTTACTGGTAAATAATTAACAATTGGGTTTCAGAATTGAAACGGAGTGATTGAGATCTCAGTTTTGAGTCTTCAAATTGATGTCCTTGTCAGAAATCTGCAACAAGATGTTTTATTCTTTTATTTTGGTGAATGTTATCTCTGCTCTTTTTGTGGATCTGAGAAAGTGTTAATGCATGAGTGTCTGAAGGAGCCAAAGGAGTCATTTTAGTTTTTTTCTTACTTAATTCTTGGTATGGTGATTAGACTTACATTCTGCTTAAGAGCTTTTAGAGGCACTACATTTGACCCAGTTGCCCATATTTTCTGGGGTATTTTGTCTACCTTGCCTAGAAAACACAAAAAATCACATTCGACAAATTCTTAGTACTCGACTGCTGAACTGGTAGCTTAGCATTGAGAAATTAAATGTCTCCTTTCAGTTTGTAGTAACCTTGACATCTTTTTTGTATTTTGTAGGAAAATATACTCTTTGTTACTAAATTACTGCTTTGAAGAACAGAATTATAAAGGAACCTTTAAGAGTTATTAGAGTATAAGAGTACCTATTTTAGTTAGTCTTTCTATGGCCATTATAAAAAGTTTAGTGTTATGTCCACTGGGTTTTTCTTCAGTGTAGTTAACGTGTTCTGGAGGTTTTAGGAAGGCTTTTTGGCAAGTGAAACAGTGATGAATTTGTCTCCTCTTCCAATTCTGAAAATCTGGAGAAGGCAGCTCCCATCCTTCTTCTAAAAATAATCTCGAGTATCTTTACCACGCAAGTGAAGACATTTTTTCACCCAGGAGTCTAATTAAAAAGACCTGGGCCCTTATATTCAACTCTTCTTTAGGCAGAGTACAGGCTTCCTGTGCTTTCTGTGTGCTTAGTTGTATCTGAGAAGAAAAACATTCCTGGAAAGCATTTGGTATATCTTATACCTTAAGTCAATTCACTCCTTTATTTCCATGATGAAGTCATCTAAAATGATTGACAGATGCAGCTATAATCACTCGTCTTTCTCCTAGAAGATATTATGTTTACAGTTAAGCTTGAAACCACTCCAGTAACATCTTCTCTTAGCTATGAACAGTTTCTTCCTCGGTAACACAGCCTTCCATCACCAGCTGCTTGACATCATAAGAATTCTACAGCAATCTTCTGTAGGAAGCTGTAGATTAACCTGATTTTTGGAAACCTTTTTTATTTCCGTTCTGCTTTGAGACATAATGAATGCTTATGCTAAAGCAATGCCATAATACTGATGCTGACTTCTTCCCCTCTGTTGATGTTGTATGGAATTTGTAACTTAAACAATAAAGAAGGTGCTGTTCTTCAGTATACAAGGTTGAAAAGTAGTAGGCGACCTGCTTAGGTACTTATTTTCTCTTTAACCAGTTACTTTGGTTTCAAATGCAAGAGGAAAGATGTAGCCTAACACAAATAATAATCCTTCTGTGAATATGTACGGTGGCTTCTTGGAACTTGAAGGAATTAGCACGCTCAACAAAGTCCTGCAGTTTCTTACTGAAGGAAATGGAAAAATTAAGTATTGCTCAGGATAATTTTAAATTCACTACGTTGTCAGGGGTATGGAATTATTGTGGCTGAACCATGAGAATCATGAACTGGTTTGTTCTACTTTCAGCTTGGAGACATACAGTAGATGCAGTTGGTATTTTTGTCTTTTATGGCTGTAGGTATCATTTTTTTCTAATATGCTTCAGATCTTGAAATGCACTCCTGAAACTTAATTACAAATCTGATTAGAATGAAGAGTCAAAATATTGATATTTTTAGATTTTAAAAGTTTGGACGTAGCCAGTTTCTTTTCCATTCTCCTCACATGTATTGAGGAAATTGTTTCCCACGTGGATGCAGAAGCAGTATTGGAAATTAAAGTATCATTTGTTTATGTGGAGAGTGGAGGAGCTGTATAACTGTTCAGACAGAACAGCTCTGTATGCCTTTTTGAAACTTCTCAGTCTTCCTTTACCACTTCATAGTCTACTTTAAGACACGAGCTTTAATAATTGCTATGTGAAGTTAGTCCTTCTGCCTTCCAAGGCATGGGTGTTAGAGGAGCTTCACTGCCTCCTAATCTTTACCTTTGGATATATTAAATCCCCTACCAAAATTACAGGGGGAGGCAGTGGGGAGGGGGGGAGGAGAAGTTATTGTATGTGTGGTGGTGTTTATTGTTCAGGTTTGCTTTGGAACTTCTGAAGTTCTTTTATTTGAAGCACTTCAGTGCTCTTCTGTGATACTTAGGCACACCTTTTTTTGCCTTATCCATTAGTCTTCCATTAACTTACGGGAGTGAGAACTCTGCCAACGTACTATGGTGGTATCTTGCAGGAAAGTAGCTTCTCTAAAGCTTTGCATCCAACTCTATAAGTATGGTATTATCAAACTTGGGCTTTTGCAAATACTGTGATGTTTTTTACTATCAAACTATATGAGGCGGCAATCATTCCAGAGCTGTAATATTTCCAAAACAAATTACTTGTACAGTCATTACTTGATGGGTAAATAGTTTTCAGAACAGAATTATTAAGCATTAACCTTCACAATTAGCAAATAGTGTCTAATTAAAAAAGATAACACTGATTAAACATATTGAGATTTCCAGTTAGTGTTTTTTAAAGTGGAGTATGCATGCAAATGCATGTGCCCTTTGCTAAGTCATTTGAATAGTTTTCAGAAACAAAGCAAATGCACTGTGATAGAAAGCAAATACAGACATAATTTTTAGCTTGTAGGTTGGATTGTTATAGTATCCCTATCTGTCCCTATAATAATTTGTTGGCTTGCTTTATCCATTCAGCCCTATCCAGCATTTAACACTTTTGAATATCTGGTTTCTGTAGTAGTGTAACCATTGGTATCCTCTGTCTTTTTCAGGAGATAGTTGACAAAGAGGGGCATAGCAAAGTGCTGAGTTTCACAATTCCGTCCTTGTCCAAACCTTCGGTCTATCATGAAGTAAGTGATATGTACAACATAAAGTTGTTACAGATTGAGAAAGGCAGTGTGTTTTGGGGGCCTATTTGTTAAGAATAAAAGTGAAAAGTAGTTTTAGCGTGTTGCATGATGACATAGGAAAATATTTCTCGGTCTTCTGAGTGGTACTAACTGATCTCTGAGGCCTCATCAAGACTGAATAGTCATAACTCCAACTCAATGCACTAACTGTATCTTTTTTTATATATATTCTGAAGAGATATACCTTACCTGGTGTAAAATAACTTCTTAAATCTAAGACAGCTAAGCAGTTGGATAACCTTAAGGCTGTTAAAAATTTATGTACAAACACAGTGATGCTGATCATTATCTATTTTCACTTGCGTTGTAACAAGACTTCAGGTGGACATGTTTTGAGCGACCCTCTTTCCTTTAGCCTTCCAGCATTGGCTCCATGGCTCTCACTGAAGGAGCTTTATCGCAGCATGGTCTGTCCAGGGTTGTATACAGTGGACCTCATCCTCAGAGGGAGATGTTAACAGCACAGAACAGGTAAAATTGTATGATGGGATTTTGCTTCAGAATTACTAGTGAATCTTAACTTCCTATAATTTTTAATATAGTTGTAGACTGAAGATGGGTATGTGTATGCTGTGTTTTGTGGTGTTTGGGGTTTTTTGTTTTTAAACACATGTAAGTTGCAGGTGCAGAAAGACTAACAGCGCATATTATGACAGGAAGTGGGAAAGCTTACAGAACCAAATATTCAGTTGTCAATTTTATTGAAAACAAATACAAAAATCTGTTCAAATAACTCTTGCAAATTTCTGTGTGAACTTGTTTCCTTTTCAAAAATAAAATTGGTAAAGTAATTCTAATGTTTCTTGTAAATCCCAGGTTTGAAGTGCTGACTTTCCTCCTGCTCTGTTACAATGCTGCCTTAAGCTACATGCCTGCAATTTCTCTTCAGTCGTTGTGTCAGATTTGTTCAAGGTAATTTCTGTAGGTTGATTATACTTAAAATGGCATTTTGAACTTGAAATGCAATCAGTTTGAACTTTTTTTTTTAATAAAAAAGCTTCAGATTCCCAAAAGCTGCTTGTAAACTTGACTCTTTTTCATAGGTATTTACAGCTGCATTATTTGCTTTTGAAGTATCTCTTATGTAACTTTGAGTTGAGATCTCAAAATGGGGACACAATGACCTGGCTTATATGCAGTGCTGTTAAGTGGAAAAGTCAAATCAAGGGAACTGTTTGTTTTAATCAAAGTAGTTGTAGGTGTATTAACTAAATAAAATCAGAAATGTCTTCTAAAATCTTGGTAAATTTTGCCTTGCAAGCTTACTAAATATATTTGGATGCTGTGCAAGTTGAAAATTTACTGAAATTATAGTAGATCTTGAAACTAGAAATCCATCTATTCTTTCAGATACTTTGGGTATTTCTAAAATCTGCTGTTACTTAAAAAAATAAAACAAACAAAAGTACCCAGGAAAAAAACCCACCTTGGCTTTAATTTACAGTGTCTATTTTTAAGCCATTTCTTTTTTCAAAGAGGAAGAACAGGTAGTGAACATGTCTATCTCTAAATTTTTGAAAGTGGACTTTGAGTTAAGGAAAAAATTAGAATGCTCTTGTTAACCCAGGAATCCCAAGGGAGACCTAAAAGTCAACTACTGGAACTTTTAACCAGTCATAGTTCCCAGGTTCCTCACGCAAACAAAACATGGCAATGGATGCCTGTAAGATCCTCTCCTCTTCAGAGGAGGTGAGAGAGAGCATTGGAGCACTTGGCAATATTTATAAGAGTCTTTACAAGATATTTGTTAGATATGCAGGTCTGAATTTTAAGGTAGAGAATATAAAGAAGCTGAGGATTGTGGACATGAGGCTGATGTTGCTTATTCTGTTTGATTATGTTTTGATTGTATTTGGAATAAATAATTTTTAAAAGGCCTCTAAAAACCCCTGAGCAAATTACCAGCAGATGCAAGCAAGTCTTTCTACTTCAAAATGTTGAATGTTTGGATAGTGAATTATTTGATACTATACAATTCAACTTTCATCTTAGGTCTTCATTCCCTACTGGTTTTGGCATCCGTGTTTCTCTGCTTACTGAAAATCTTGCCCCGACAGCATTTTAGGGATTCAAGGGAATATGTGTCAGAAGACCCAGAATATCTTTCAGTATCCTGTTTGGATGTGGTGGTGACAAAATTCTCAGAAGAATCTATAGAATAACTCCTTTAATTGGTTTGCGCAGTGTTGAATTCAGGTTTCTTTTGGAAGATCTGTATGAAAGCAATCTACAATGAATGTGCTTTCTTCTAGTAAGTCTAATTCAATTTTTATGACTTCTCTAAAGAAGCAGAAGCTTCTAGTACTTCTTATTTACAAACATGAACTGTAAATGTGACAATTATAGCATGAAATATTTTGTGCTGATCTCAAGTGTTGCAAATTCAGATATTTTTTTTTTTGTATTTGGGCATCTTCAGTTACTAAGTCTCTTTTCACAAGAATATTATCTTACCCTGATGTAAAGCAAAGCAGTTCTGCTGATGTCATTCTACATTCCACCTTTTTAGACGTAGTAACTTGGATTAGAGTAGGGTTTTTTAAAACTAATCAATACTGGTATTAATAGAGTGTCTGCATTAAGGTCTTCTCTATGTAACTGTCGGTGTTAACTGATCGCATTCCTATTGTAAGGTCACAGTTTTCCCCCCAAAGTACTTACTGTATCCCTATACAATAGCATCTAGTAAATGCATAGATAAATACATTGGCCTAAAAATGACCCAGTTAAACAGTTTTTTTGTAAACTAACATTTTTGTTTAAGCTGGACTCTTACTTCCTGCTTACTTCCTGCCGTCTTCACCCCTCAGGCTTTACACAACACTGAAATGCTGATTATTTTAGTAGATTGTAAGTGTCATCTTGAGCCAAACCACTGGTAGAAATTATGGACTATCTGGAACTAAAGTGTTTCCCAAGTTGCATAATAATAGCCTTTTCTGGGGGATAAAGAGGAGAAAAATGGGATGGGATTTTTGTGGGGGAGTTATTAAACCTAGTTAATTTCGGTAACTGGCTCATGTGGTTTAGGACTAGGTAAGAGTCAGAAAAACAGTTTTTGTGCTTTAACTTTTACTATGTATGGACAAAAAGAAATATGAGACGATGAACTCATTTCATTCCAACATCTTAAGTATATTTAACAGAACAGCCAATTTGATTCACTTAACTGGAAATAAGATTTTTGTTTTAGCTGTGCATATACTTGCAGGTGAACTCTATGTGTTTTAAGATACAAATTTATTTGCATTCTGGTTTCTAAAAATTTAGAGTTTTAAGCCATTTGAATAATGAGACACGAATCATAGTGCAATCTGAAGTAATGTATTCCTAACAATAATCAGAGTTTAAAATCTGAATGAACAAGCAAGGAGTACTTATAGTCTGTGCTTCTGGCCAGCAACAATATCAAATTTAGGGAAAAACTTGCAGTTACTTACAAATTAACATGTTTGGGTACCCTTGAAAATCAAAATTCAAAACTAAGCAAAATATAATCCTTTTTTTAGAAATATGATTTTGAATTGTTGAATTCAGACATTTAAATCTTGGTTTAGGCCAGTCTGAGAAGTTTTAATTTAGGGTGGTAAATTTCAGTGAGAATTATAATTGAATACTGATGCTCAGAGCAGCAGTTGACCAATTCTATAAAGTGGCAGCGCAAGCCTAGGGTTTATGGAACTACCTTCAATAGCAGATGAGTGCATAGAGGGTAGGTATCCTATACCTGTAGGTATCTTGACCTCATGATGTTCAACAAAGCCAATTGCAAGGTCCTGCACCTGTGTTGGGGCAATCCCCGATACCAGTTCAGACTGAGGGATGACTGGATTGAGAGCAGCCCTGCGGGAAAGGGCTTGGGGATACAGTGCCATATGCACTTGCAGCCCAGAAAGCCAATCGTGTTCTACACTGCATAAAAAGAAGTGTGGCCAGCAGGTTGAGGGAGGTGTTTCTCGTCCTCTACTCAGCTCTTGTGAGACCCCACCTGGAGTACTGCATCCAGTTCTGGTGTTCCCAGTAAAAGAAAAAGGCATGGACCTCTTTTGTGGACCTCTGGGTCCAGAGTAGGGCCACAAAAATGATCAGAGGGCTGGAACACCTGTCCTATGTAGAAAGACTGAGAGCGTTGGGGTTGTTCAGCTTAGAGAACGAAAGACTCCAGGAAGACCTTGTTGCAGCCCTTCATCATAAGCAAGGGAGGCCTATGAAAAAGATGACAGTGGCTTTTTACCAAGACCTGTAGTGACAGGGTGAGGGGCAACAGTTTTAAACTGAAAGCGGGTAGATTTAGATTAGACATCAGGAAGAAATTCTTTACTCTACGGGTCGTGAGGCACTAGAACAGGTTGCCCAGGGAAGTTGTGCATGCCGCATCATTGGAAGTGTTCAAGGTCATGAGCAACCTCATCTAGTGGAAGGTGTCCCTGCCCATGGTATGGGGAATGGAAACAGATGATCTTTAAAGGCCCCTTCTGACCCAAACCATTCTATGATTCTTCCTTCATAAGCTTCTCAATGTTTTAGTTTCCTTGCAAGTTGTCACTAGTGTGGCTTCCTGTCTTTTCTGATGAAGTGTTTAAAGTGTTTTTGTTGTTGTTTGGAGATGCGGTGATATCAGCATGAAGAGTCAAAATTGGATCATACTAGGTGTAACGTGCATACCGGGAGAGTTGTTGAGCCGTAGAGATCTTGGGGGAGCCATCTGCTTTTTTGTTGTGGTTGTGCAGGTGTTGTGGGGTTTTTGGTTTTGTTTTTTTAAGTAGCCAAAGCAGAAGATGAGTTCTGAGATAGAGAAGGAGAAGGAAAAATGTGCAGTAGGTTAGTGCCATTTTCTGGAAAAAAATAGATTTAAGAAAAGTTTTACAGGCTGTCTGGTATTGAAGCTTTCCAAGACTAAATCTTCTAGTACATGCTTTGAAGAAGGAAATGCTTTGATTAATGTCATTTGTCATTGTTTGTGTCATTTCAGAAGGTCAGTAATAGCCAATGAATTGAATATTTAACTACCCAGTATCTTTGATTTCCAAAATGTTTTGAGTACGGAACCTGGTATGGAATTTAGTTCCAAACTAAATTCTAAAACTGACTTACTGCATTTTAGAATAGTATTTTATGAATGTGACACTTCTGGTCTCTTTGCTTGAAAATTTGTATGCAACTTCCATATTATATGCAGTGACACACTTCTGTCTGTAATATTAATAGTTGCAGTGCTGCTTTATTTCCTTAAATACTGTTAACTTATTTTTTTGTCTGCTCTGCAGCAAAGGCGTGGATTCAGAATGACTTTTACTGGCGGTTTTCTTTTGTGTTCCACTGTAGTATAAAAATGTAACACGAGTGTCTAGGGCGTCTGTATTTTGAAGGATTTGAACTCTGCCAGTAGAGGGCATACCCTTCTTCCATAATACGAAATAGTCCGCTTCAGCACAGAGTTGTTGGTAGATATCTTCCTGTGGGTCTATTGTAGTTAAAATGTATACTAAACACCTAGCTTTGTAGAGTTCTATACAAAGGTGTTCTACATGATTTTCTAACGACAAATGCATGGTTTCTTTAGAATTTGTGTCTGTGGATACCCTCGCCAACAAGTGAGAAAGTACAAGGGAGTCAACAGTAGGATTCCAGTTTCATCCGAATTCATGGTGCAAATGCTAACAGGGATTTATTATGCCTTGTAAGTTGTTTTTTTTTTTTTTTTGTATGCATACAAAGTAAAGAAATGTCAGTATAATTTGTACACTCATTTAGGCATGCTGCCTTGGAAATGTTTTATTTATGTCCTCAGGAAGAGAACATAGTTCTCCAACTAGTTAGCTGAAGTTATACTGGGGAAAGAGGGCTAGAACAGTACTTAATAAGTATAACTTCTGATGTGAAAAAATCTTAAAAAAAAAAAAAAAAACAACAAAAAAACCCAAAAAAACAAACCAACCACAAACCTTTTCCAACCATTGTCTGCTGTCCACATTTTTGCATGCTTAGTTTTGATATAGTTAAGGAAAAAAGGTCTTATTATTCTTTCTCTGAAATGTTGATGTCATTTACCCTTTGATAGTCATGTTAATGTGTGAAGCTCTTGTTAACTGAAATAATTAGAGACTAGTAACACAGGAATACTCAAAAGGTAGAGTAATATTAAAATAATCCTGCTTGAATTTCAGAGTATTTCATGATCAATAATTAATTATGTCATTTTTTTAAACTGCTCGGAGTGGCCAATGAAAATAAGACCTTTTCTCTATAGAAGCTACTTCAGAACAAATTCCCTAACTAGCTGGCTTACTGCTAATGAACACAAGTGGTTCAACTCCTCTAAACTGAGCTCTGAAGGAATACTAAATCTGTGAAGGTTATGTGACGAAGAAGGTTCATCTGTTGGTATAGATGCTTATTATTATGTATATATTTATCTTTGTAGTTATAATGGAGAATGGGATCTGGCTCGTAAAGCTATGGATGACATTTTGTATAGAGCACAGCTGGAACTGTATCCAGAACCTCTGCTGGTAGGTGTTATATTTCAGTATTAATTTTTTTTGAGTAGAATTTTTAGCCTAGGAAATCCTTCCTATGAATGTGCATGATGCAACATCACACCAGGAACCTAAATCCCATGAGGTCTATGTGGCTGTGCTGGTGTGAATAGCTCGATCTGCAAGTATACACACATGCACACAGGTATTTTCAGTATACTTAATTATTTTGTCATCTTCCCCAGTGAACAAACTGTTTTCAGTAGAATACTTCTTAGTCTTGAAAGCTTAGATGATAGTGCAGTAGCACTGTGAAGTTCGTGTTAAGTAATAGCCACATCTTTAAACTGGAAACTTTGTTTTAAAAAGTGGCAGGTATTGAGTGTAACTTATTTCCAAGAGGTAATTGCAACCAGCGTTCTTTGTAACCTGTGCAAAAAGCTAATGTGCTTTTTGACCTTAAACTAGAATTGTTTACAGTATTCTTGGAGTAATAAGAATCTCCTGACAGAATTTTTCTTCTAAAATTTGGATCTTCATGTTAAGAACTTAACTGCACCTTTTCTGTTCTAGGTTGCAAATGCAATAAAAGCTTCACTGCCTCAGGGTGCCATGAAATCTAGTAAAGAAGGTACAAGATGCATTCAGGTTGAAATTACACCTACTTCATCCAGAATATCAAGAAATGCTGTGACTAGCATGTCTATCCGAGGGCATAGATGGAAAAGGCATGGTAAGAAACACATTTTGCAATGAATTCTTAGCTTTTTACATGTATTTAAAATGATACTGAGAATTTTCTTATTGCACATCTTCATTGCTAGGAAGCAAGTAGCAGTTTGGAGAATCTTATTTTCTTAACTGGTGAATGGGAATCTTAATGCATTTCAGATGAAGTATATTCTTTATTTTCTAAATCACATTTTAAAAAAATCCACACAAGAAACCTTTTTGTTAAAGGGAGCTGTACAAAGTTACTGATTCTTTAAAGAGACCAATGTTCCTGTTTTCTTCTGAAAAGTAGCGTATAGTACCTGAAGCAAAGCAGATATTTAACAACTTTACCAAAGAACCTCATCTGTCTTAAATTGCTTAAATAAAAAATCAGATATAAAAGTAAAGGGATAAATTACTATGTTTTGGTGTCATGGTTTAGCCCTGGCCAGCAACTAAGCACCGCACAGCCACTTGTTCGCTTCCCTGCAGTGGGATGGGAAGAGAATCAGAGTAAAATCAAGAGCTCATGTGTTGAGATAAAGACAGTTTAATATGTAAAGCAAAACCTGTGCACACAAGCAAAGCAAAAACAAGGAATTCATTCATTGCTTCCCACGGGCAGGCAGGTGTTCAGCAATCTCCAGGAAAGCAGGGCTCCATTATGCGTAACAGTTACTTGGGAAGACAAATGCCATAACTTCGAACGTCTCCCCCTTCCTTCTTCTTCCCCCAGCTTTTATTGCTGAGCATGACATCACATGGTATGGGATATCCCTTTGGTCAGTTGGGGTCAGCTGTCCTGGCTGTGTCCCCTCCCAACTTCTTGTGCATTCCCAGCCTGCTCGCTGGTGGGGTGGTGTGAAAAGCAGAAAAGGCCTTGATGCTGTGTAAGCCTTGCTCAGCAATAAGAAAAACATCCCTCTATTATCAACACTGCTTTCAGCAAAAATCCAAAACATAGCCCCATACTAGCTACTATGAAGAAATTTAAATCTGTCCCAACCAAAACCAGCACATTTGGGCAACCTAATATAAGGGCTTCCACAAAGTAGAACACTGGTATGGGCCGAGAAGTAGAAAAATGGTGCTGAATGTACTGCACAAGGAGAAACCTATTCCAGTTCTTCTACCACCTTCAGATGAGGGAAGAGCCGCTGGACCAGCAATGAAAATTGACAATGACTTGTTCTGCTGGGTTTGTAATTCTGATGACAGGCTAAGTGAGTGAGTGTAGATAAGAATGCTCTTTTAATAAGTTCAATAAAGATTTTGAAGTGGTGTCATAAAAATTTCGGTATGATGTGCACTGTATGAGCTTTTGTAGTATATGGACAATTCGGATAGAAAAATATTGCCAAGTTACTTGTAAAGGACCAAGAGGTAATTCAGGTAAGTGTTGAGAAAATTTATTTATAAATATCCTGGTAGAAGATTACTTCAAAATAATGATAGAGCTTTCTTAGCAGTAATGATACACATTGGTGGTAGTAGTACCAATAGTAAGCTGCCATAGGGGATGAGGCGCAAAACCAGGTAAAATAACCAAATTTATTTTCAGTTTATTAAAAACTGGTTAAAACTGTCAGACAAAGCTGAGGAGCAAAACATTAGTGTCTTTAACTTGAGTGAGGTCCAGTAGCAAGTCATTACTGAAATCTCAAGACTGTTAAGGACCATTTTAATCTTTATTGTTTATTTTCCTTTATTTAGGCTTACAGTTGTTAAACAGGGATTATTGACCAGGTGCAAGAAAACTGTATGGATAGCTCAGCTTTTAAATGGACAAATGCTCTCTGAAGCTTGGCAATTTTGTCAGCTGTTATTTTTGAGTGGTTCTCATGCTTGTTCAAATGAGGTGGGGGAGGGCAACGCAAATCAAGGGTACTGAGTGTTAGATCATTCAGAGGAATTGAAGGTGTATTAAAGTAAACATTCCCTTTGTCTTTGCATTTGCAGAAAAAATAAAAGTGTTAAAGAGTCAGTATTGGAACCATCCTTATAAGAATGCAAATTTTTCAGCAAATACAGAAATCTAGAAGGTTTTACAGTTATTGCCTTTTTGCAGGGGGTAATGCTTGGTGAAGTTCAAGGAAAAATGGGTGGGACAAGTGTGCCCTGCAGCAAATAACAGTAAGGTGAAAGGGAAATGAGAATAATAATAGGACTCATAGAAATGGGGGGAAGGCTGTGATTTATGGGAGTCTCAAAGCAGAACAAGTTGAGAGAAACGGTGATAATTTAGTTAGTATGACCCAAGTGAGGCGTGTTTAGGGATGAGGGTTGAAACATTAAGGACTTTTACAAAAAAAACTCTTGCCAACATTTTGCTTGGGTTACTGGGAAAACTTTGGATTTGTCTCGATGGTACAGGATTTAATGAAGAGGAGGAATATCACTTGGTGTAGGGCAGGGGTGGAAGAGAACTTGTATAGCAGGTTGTGGGAGTAGTTGTAAATTTGAAGGCTATGTAAACATTAGGCTAGTTTAAAGGTCAAAACTGAGTCTATGGTATCTTTGACTGTCCAAGTGTTTTGTTTTATATGGTAAGTGTTCCATGCATATGCCACTTCAGCTAATCTCCTCAAAATTTTCATTATACAATACCAACAAAATCATTGATTGTGACTTGAAAAGCCTTTTTGAAGTTGGAGCGGATGGTCTCCTGATTTCAAAATTCCTAATAAAAAAAATTCAGTACCCTGCAAGTCCTGATGAAAGAAAGATATGGAATAGATCTTCAGGGTCAGCATGTAGAAAGAATAATGAGGCTTGTGCTTACAGATGCTTGTTTGAATTTAAATACTGGAATTGGTAGTAATCAGATGAGAAACCTTGTACCTCCTGATCATTACCTCCCTCCCACAGTGTAAGGGAAAAAAAGTGTATTCAGGGGTTTTATTTTTGTGCTTCAGTATAATAAAAATGAGTTGTACAAATGGATTAGGAAGCTAGAGGAGACAGCTGAGAGGTAGTTTGATCTTACATGTTATGTGAACCAGAAGACCTGATGAAGCGAAGTATCCCTTGGGGAAGCAAGGGGCAGCAATTTTCAATTACTAGCTATTTGTTTAAAGTGAATAAAATAAAAGAATTACAGCTGATCACATTTCCAGCTGAGAAGCACGGGCTTTATTTTTATCTTTAAAAAAAGTCAGTTTACTGTAAAAGTTTTCAGACATTAGATCTTACTAGCCTTTGCTAGAACTCTTGATTGAAGTCAGTTTTGAAAAAAGGGTCGACTTAGCATCACAATAAGATTAAATGTTCAACCTTGCAACTTGTTCATTAGAGCTGTTACTTAGAAGGACTTTTTTTAAAACCAAATGTATATTGGGAATTTGGACTTCTAAGGTAGGTAATTTAGAGGTACTAAAGGTGAACGTTTTGCAAAAGGTGATCCATTTGCAAAATGGATCCATCTAATCACAAATGGATAGTATTTATAGAGTCGGTTGATACTAGCCACCGCTTATCAACAAATTATTTAGTGCTATTGAATTGGATTGCCTATAAATCATAAAGCTTTAAAAAGAGGAGCATTAACTCCTCTGCAAGCATTTTTTGTAGTATTCATGTTTTAACAAGCCTTGAGTGTCATCTCCATTTCCCTTCGCAAATAGAGGAAACCCAGAAAAATCATGCAGTGTGTAAGGGATATAAACACCTAAATGAATGGTTATTTATGGAAGCTAGGAAAAAATCAAGCCCTAGCAATGCATTCCTTACTAATGTAAAATCTGCCAAACTACCTTATATAAGGGTTGCTCAGGAAAAACTCCTGTGTCTAGAGGTAATGTGTGTAAGAGAAATAATCAGATGTAACAGACTGAGAAGAGCTAAGCAGATGTTGGAAAGATACATAACACAAAAACAAAGACATCAACTAGAGAAGAAGGACAAGATGCTTTTTTTTTTCCCCATTGAAGAGATTGACTTTCATGTAGTACACAAGGTTTAGAAACATTAGTCTTTGAATCTCTGTGGAGACAGTTTTCTTACTTTTTTTGAAACAGTATTAGTTCCTGAAATAGTTATACTCTTAGGAATCTGGAATGAATGTTAATTTTAGGATACAAGCTTGATGATTTTGTGATAATTCAAAATGCTAACATTGTTGTACAGGAAATGCAGCTTAAGCTTGTGGTGGTTAAAATTGAATTACAATCCAAATGGGCAGTTTCCCTGTGCAATCTGAGGTAAATGATGCAGGCAATCATAATAATAAGGTAGACTATGATTGAAATCTCTTTTAAATTAATTCTTAGCAGCTAGTAATCATGAAATGCATTTATCAAGGTTGGTTGTACTCCTCAAAGCATTCAGAAATGTGACTCCAACTGCATTTTCTTTCAACTGCTATGGGCATATTTATATAAACTTTCAAACTGATGTAATTATTCAGTAACTATTTAGCAGTGTCCTTTGTTTTCTCTTTTGCTGCATTGCCTTATGCACTGGGTATTAATGTATCTTTCCCAAATGAGACCCCCCGAGAGTTGTCCAGCTTGAAGCAGTATTAACTTCGAAACCAAGCACTACAAAGCTCAAGGTTTGTTTTAGGTGTTCTTAAAAGTTTTAAAATAGGGAGGGGATGGTGTACTATGGAGGACATGGATTGTGTAGTCTTACCCTTGCCAGGAGACTAGATGCTATGATAGACAGTGTTAATAGGAATTGAGATACCCAGTAGCCCACTTTGTCATGAATTTCCTCCTGTAGTTCAATGTAAAACTCAGAGAAAGGTATATTCCCTTTCATTAGAAGTAGTTAATAGCACTTAACTAAAAGATTAGACATAATTATGCTGAGTAAAAGTTTTTTTGTTGTTTTTTTGGCCAGTTCATTGTGGTAATGGGTACTCAGCTGTGGGAATGCAGCAATGATGAGTGAAGTGCTGGTATCACAGTAGGATATTACATTTATAAATGCACACCACCAAACAATAATAAATATCACTGTTACACAAAATCTGTAGCAAGAACATTTTTTCCTCTGCTTTTCTGATTTCTGCTGTGCACTCTGAGTCTCCTTTCTTTGGAGCTGGATGCTGTTAATTGGTGCTTTTCTGCCCTTGGTGAGGAAGACTGACAGTAAGCTCTGTTCTGCCATCTCCTCTCTGGTGTCCTGGCTCTAAATGAAGTTTCTAGCAGAGTCGACTTGTGCATGTGGAGATCATTGGATCCTGGGAAGAAGTTCTGCTGAAATAAGGTGCCTGTAGGTGCCTGCGCTGACAGAGTAGCAGGAAGGAGTTTGTGCCTCTGCTACGCCGGTCTTCAAGTACCTCACCCTAGTAAAATTAGACCAATGAGGCCAATCAAAGCATAGATCTTCTCACTAACCTTTCTGCTCCTATGTTTTTAGAAAAAAGGCTATACTTGATGGAGGTGGTATTATTATTGTTATTATTTTTACTATTGCAGTTCACGGTTCTTGGTTGTTACCTTTGTTACTGATGATAGAAGACTTTTGCGGAGAGTGCTGTTAGGAGGAGTAACACTTAAAAACAGTTCTAACTTGAGTTTCCTGCCAGATATCAGGAAGTTACTGGCTAATGGCAGCAATTACTAATGCCATTGCCTTTGAATAGTACAACTTGTTAAATAGATGCTTTCATTAGTAGTTGCCTAGTTAGAAAGAATCATGATACTTGGCATTTGCAGGTGAAATGAGGGATAGCTCTTACATCAGGGGATGATGATGTCCATCCCTGCCAGAATAACCTTCTAGCTCTGAGACTTATTTCATTGTCGTGATAAGTGCAGAGAGCACAAATGCTAACAAAAAGCACAGTGCTGTAGCCTGCTTCACCTAGAAGTATGCTGTGCCCGCACAAGAGTCCTCAGTGCGGGGACAGGGGAAGAGGGGATTCCCTCCAGCTAAAAAGCATTAGAGCTGCCACTGTGACAAATCATCTTATAAATTCCTCTGGTTTTGGACTTGATAGTGTCAGTTAAATGTCCGTACTGCCAACTTCTGTCATGTGCGGTAGCAAACTGGCAATATAGTCTGGGCAGTCCTCAGGTCTGAAAGAACTGTTATGAATAAAACAGGGATTCAGTTGGGCTTTATTCCAAGCTATGCTTTTATTGCATTTTCAGTCTAGTCAAGTTTGTGGCCATAGTGTTTGCATATAGTATGCATATATAACATATAGAATATATAACTATACAGCATATAGTGTAGTTCTTGCTCTTCTTCACTTGTATTTCTGTGGTATGCATCCTCATGGAGAATGTGCCATGACTATCTGTAACTGATAGCTTCTCCAGGTCATCTAAATGCAGTTTTCTGGTTGTAGAGCTAGTGCTGATCAAGCAATTCTGAATACTTTTTAAAAGACCGTCAGATACTGAGAATACTTCAAACACTGTGGGTCTGACAGGTTGCTAGGGTTGTAACTTGTTACTTGCATACACATGGAATTTCTATAAAGATTCAACTCACATTTTTGTTTTCACTTTTTCTCCTCTCAAGAGTTCATCCTTCTCAAACCCGTCTTCCTCTAACGTAGACAGGCAACTTTTGAGTTGGGATTTGTTTTACCAGGACATTGTAGAACTATAGCATTCTTATCACTAAATATCATTATTAAATCTCTTGTGCTTAGGCACAACCATGGTTCTCACACTTTGAGTAGCAGTGGAGTTCTCTGTTTCTGTGGGGATTTTTGGCTGTGTCTGCAGACATCTTTGACTGTCTTGAAATAATTTTTTGGCCAGGCTAAGCACTTGTATATCTGCTGTTGATAATTTACCCAAATGAAAAAAAGTAATCTTAGAACCAAGCTGCATTGGGTTTTCCCTTAATTTCTGTGTTGTTTTTTTTTTTTTCCCCCACTGCTGCAGAAAGCTTAATCCCTGTTTTCTCAACTGTACTTAGTAACTGACTTGTGTGACACAAATAAGTTAGCAAATTAATTTAATTGTAAGCTCATATAAGAAGCTTAGAAAGGCTGAGGAGATCAATCAAAATTTATGTTATGTTGTTAGTAGGTAGCAAAAACTGCAGTAAAACTCCATAGGTTTTATTTGTATAGGTTGATTTTAGTAACGGGAGAATTTTCATACTTGTAAGTATCTTTCTGGTTGAAAATAATTTTTTGAAATGAAGAAAGAAAATGGAAGTCAAAGTGTGCTTGTGTTGACTTAGATGTTTCACTATTAGTTTTCAGGGTGACCACTGTGTGCGATATCATGACACTGTAGAATTTCTAGTCTTATATGATAACACATGAAGTTGATGTGCCATTTCATTGTAAAAATAAGTTTCACTTTAGCATAGTGATACAGAGAATATAGTCATAAAAGTGAATTATGGAGAGTTCTTTGGTTTCTGCTAGTCTCTGAATGTTTGTTTCATGATCCTCAGAAATTTCAATTTTGAAAGATTGAGCATGGGGCTTTCCAGTATGTGGGTGCAGACCAATAATTCGAAGACTGAAGCCTGCAATTTAGAAAAAAAGCAAAATTCCATACTCACTAATGTTGCTAATTAACAAGAAGTTAATATGTGAACATCTGCTTTAATTCATAATGCTTTAGTCATCTGTATCTATTGGCTTTTGTTTCATGTTTTGTTTCAGACATCTTTTGTTGTTTTTTTTTCTTATCCATCTTTAATTCTAGAACAACCAGAGAATGGTAATGATGCTACTGAATTGGGCAACTTTATCATACCTGAGATTAGTGTCACAAGTGTGGCTGGAGAGAGGACCGGGAATGGGGAAAAGAGCAGAGCGCTAGCAGAGAATGATGTTCAGCATTTACAGGGAGTACAGGAAACAGCTACAGATCCTAGAACTGACAGCAAAGGCATGCCAGAAATCAGGAGGCAAAAATCTGTAAGAAAAATGATGGAGGATGGAATAAACTCATCTGGCAGAGTGCAGTTTTAGCAGAGCACTTGTAGCTGCACTCTAAGGTACCAGTGTTGATTGAAAGGGTCACTGCTGCATGTTTGGAGAATTAAAGTATGCAGTTAATATATTTGCATGTGTAATAACACAAATGCATGTATTGCACACAGCTTCGTCTGTGCCACAGACAATGATGACGTACTTACAAGTAGATTTACTTAATCTGGAGGAAAATACACTGTGAGACTCAACATACCTTTGAGTTTATTAAGCATATTTATTTGGTTTACAAAATCCAGTGATCAATGGTATGAAGAATCCATCAAAATGGATATGAAAAGTATCTTGCTGTGTTCCTCAGATTTCCCAAATTCCACCTTTTCATGGTATACTGGAGATCTCATATTGTGCTTGAGTTTCCAACTCATACCACCAGACCTATGATGCAGAAGGTGACCTTTCAGTCCTAAAGCTTTCTTGGGTTGCTAAATATGGAGGTGCCATATTGGGTGTCCCGGGACATTGATCATTATAATTAACGAGCTTTGCAAAATCATGTATTGGAGCACTTGCTCAAAATAAGATTTAAACTTTTGTTCTGTGTGGTATCTTCTAATCTGTAAGTTTCTAATCTCCTGCATGAATTAACAAGACTGCATTATTTTTTTTTTCAAAATCACTACAAAATGAGATTGTGGGCATGCTTTTTGATCTCGTTAATGCAGCATTATTTGCTGTAACTCTATATGCTAATGAACTTAAATCCAAAATGTAATGGAATAGGTAAGTGTTTTGTCTTCTCTGTTCTGTTGCTGTATGGCTTCATGCTTGTAAATATCAAAATCTAGCAATATATAAAATCAATTAATGTGAGAAAGTCAATTGCTAATTCTTTCTTTTTCTACCATGCAGGTAATACTGATTTAGCAATCCAAGAAGAACTGATAGAAGTATCTGAAACTGATGAAGGGTTTTACTCTAGGGCTACTTCTAGTACCAGTCAGTCTGCCCTATCTAACAGCAGCAACACGAGCAGTAAGAACCTTTTAGGGAAGAGCCAACGAAGGTCTGGAGGAAGCAAAGCTGGAGGAAAAGAAAAAGAAGGAGAAACCTGCAGAGAACACTTGTCACGAAAACAAACTCAGAGAGCCATGAGTGAGAATCTAGAACTTGTGTCTCTGAAGAGACTGACACTGACAACTAGCCAGTCCCTGCCTAAACCTGGCAGCCATAGTCTGGCCAGAACGACCACTACTGTCTTTAGTAAATCCTTTGAACAGGTCAGTGGTGTCACAGTTCCAAATAATCGTGGTGGTGTATCTGGTACAGAGGCAAACAGATTTTCAGCTTGCAGTCTTCAGGAAGAAAAACTGATATATGGAACAGAAAGAACAGATCTCCCGGTTTTAAGCAAACAACCTAATCAGCAACGACCTCCTAGTATTAGCATAACTTTGTCAACAGATTGATGTTAAATTGGCAAGTATGCAAAATAAAACATTGAGGGTTTATGCTGATATTGGTACATTGGTACATTAAGCTCCTTAATGTGCTATACATTACTTTCTTAGACCTGCAGCCCATAAATTCCTATTTGGTTCACATTTGACAGTAATAGTGAATAGACAACAATTGTAATTATTTTGCATCAACTTCTAATAGCTTGAAAAGTTCCTCTTTGACTTACTGTATTTATACACCCGATTGCTTATGGCTTCATGTGAAGTTTACAGCTTCACCAATTTAACAAACATTGATTGGTTGTTTAGCCACCCACCAAGATATGTGGCTTTTTACAAATGCTTAGTATGGGAACAAACAGATCCTCTTTCCCAGATCCTGCTTTGTTACTACCACTTGGCATAGGCAAAACTGCAAGTACTTGTTTTATTTAATAGGAGTCTCACGGTATGGGCATGAAATATTGGAACAGCATTGTAAGATCATAAACATTCTCTTATGTTAGCCATGAGAAAGCTGTGCTTACGTGTAAGGTTAAAACTAGAAGCATCAGTTCAGTGTTTGTTATGGCGGGTTTTGTAACAGTAGTTAGTACACGTTGCAATGTTCATACTTCTTTATGCCTATACGAATCTGAGTTATAGATATGTTTTGGTTTTTCTATGTGTCTTTGAAACCAGGTCAAAAGTCATACAGCAGCAGTACTTGTGGATGGGAGTCTTTAGACTTTCTAATTATGTTGACAGACTCTCTTTCTTTCAGATTCTTAATATTGGGCACAAAGCTACTCATTGAAAAGTCACTGTCATCTGTATTTTTATTATTTATGGGAAGAGATGTGCTTATGTAACAATGTTATGTAGGAAATAAGGTATGAGCCCTTTGAACTGACTCAAGCAAATCAGGGGTGTGAATGTGTTTGACATGAACTTCTTACTTGAGATTAAGAGAATACTACCAAAGGATGTGTACTTTCAGTAACTCCCAAGCACAAAGGGAAATTATAATGTAAATATAACTAGCACTGTAATTCTTAGTCTTTTGTATCTATTATTTTTCTAGTTTGAAATTCTAAAACAGCAGCCTGTTCAAGGTTACCTAGCCATTAACGTTCAGTTAATTTGGTGACCTTGTTTGATACCAACTTTTATACCGGTAAGATTTTAATTAAAAATGGATATTAAAACTTCTTATGCAGAAATTTGGAGAAGCAATAGGTGACAAATCCACTCCAGTAGCAGTGATTAGCTGATAAACACACAATATATTATTTTGAGTGGAGAAATAGGCTGAAGATCTAAGGCACGGTCATTCCCAACTGTCCAGATTTCTGCAGCTACTGATCCCTTATTGTCAAGAACTTTGTAACAAACCAAACACTAAAATTCTGGTAGACTTTCCTGTTTTCCTGGAGATAAGTTTAGATATCCCTTTTTGACTTAAACTGAAGCACAATTAACTTTCATGCAGCTAACGTTATTCAGGTTTGTAGCAATTAATAAGTTGGTTAATTAATGAAAAGAGATGAGGAGATGTAGTTGATAGGGACAAATAAGTTGTATAATTCTACTTGTAAGACTGCAGACTAGATGTGTGCATTTCTTGATATTCACCAAAGTATGTGGAATAGCCGCATCAGTCTATAGATGTTTGTCTTCACTTGAGAGCCTGAGTTTAAATGAATGTGCCACACTTCCTCTTTCGTGTTCGTTGTGTGACACTTCTGTTCTAGTAATGCAGTATTTCACTTTTTTATAGTGAAGTGTTTGCTTAACTGTACATGAAAATTTACATTCCTAATGTATAAACCACAAATTTGTCCTGTTCGGTGTCTAATACTTTGGCCAGTGAAATAAACTGGTTTTGTGAAGTTGTATGTTTTTGTAAATACTTTGTACAGTAGAAAAATTCACCTCTTTTTTTTGCAGGCTTTTCTGCAATAAACATTAGACAGCGTGTTTGTTTCAGACTGACTAATCCATGTGGCTGCTGGAGCATGCATAACCATAAGCAATAGAAGGGTTTCGGGCAGCTGGTAGCAGACACTGGCTGGCACTACACGTACTGAATGTAGAGCTCTTCCTTTCCTTGAGATTTGTTCTAGACGTTACAAAGAAATAACCTGCAGAACTTACAGCTCCTCCGGATCTGCTCTTGCAGTGTAGCATTTGAGAATACTTCGGAAACACTTTACAGTCATTTAAATTGAAACAGAAACTAGATTAGATAAATAAAATTGCAATTGACAAATGTTTGTTGTGAAGGTATTAGTTTTAAGTGTTAAGGGACTAGAATTTTTAAGTGATTCTACTGGTTTGGTTTTGTTTTATTTATCTGCACAGTAGACACTCCTTCAAGCTGGCTGTTGCTGTGAAAGGTGTTTATTGTACTGGGAAGACTTAGTCACTTTAGGTATAAATAATTAGATTTTCAAACGATCTAAAGTGCCACAAAATGTAGATATGTAACAATGATTACAATACTGTTGGCTACCAGTCAAACAGTGCTGAAGTCAAGTTATCCAGCTAATTATTCTAACTGTGGTCTGGCTCGAACCCAAGACATCGGCTCATATTAGGACAACTGAAATTACATAAAGTTTCATACTTTTTTGAGGAAACTATAAGAGCAAAGGTTCTTGGTACTAAAGGCTGCTGTTTCTATACATACGTGTCGTCATATAAATATCTATGTATTTGTCTCTGGAGTAACTTACACAATGAACATGTTTTTGTGAACTGACATCACACCTTGATACTGATGAAGTCTAACAAATTTCTTTCCTGATGTGAGTAATAAAACTTTCAGTTGTGCTTCTTTCTTTTCTTAAAAATGGAGGAGAAAAAAATTAAGCAGGATGGGGTAGGGAGGGCAGAATTGTTTGTTGTTGAAATATCCATGGTGCAGGATTGGTGGGGAGGGAAGGGGGTAAGTACGGCAGGAAGCAGTTATAATCTTTTGTGGTATTTCTAAAATTGTCAAGCTCTTGGGTTTTGAGCATTATCTGATCGCTTTAGACTGATGAATGAAAAATGTGTATTTCTTCTAACAGGGTAAGGAAAACCTGTCAAAATGTCCCATATTGTAGTCTACCTGGGGAGTGGGTAGTTCTGATGAATACACTCCAAACATCATACACGGCTGCAACATTCTGCAGGAAAAATGTTATGTAGGAGTGAATCATCTCAAATTATAGTAAGGGAAGTTGTTTTAATGCTGACATTTATAACTGACCTTACTGTTTTAAATCAAAGGGCACCGTTTCCAATGGTGGCTTTGAACAGCAACGCTTTCAAAACTCTGTTGAAACTGAGAAGAATTATTTTTGTCGTGAGAATCTGTAACACTTGCGCAAAAAGCGTACAGCCTCTAACCACTTGCTGTAGAGCTGCAGTGACTTTTCTGAAAGGAGTGACATGTCCTTGAATTGCATTGAATAATACCTGACAGGTTTGACAGGTACAGAAATATATAGCTGTTTTAGCCACACTTCTCTCTAAGGAGGTCTCTTCTGATTTCTATGAGAAATTCTATTCTAGAAATTTCTAACTTAATTATTATGTCTGATATCTTTTGTCAGTGTTTAAGGCTTACAGTGCTGTATATAGGTGTGTAATATATTGCCATTTGTATAATTCTAAGACTAGATGTCTGCACTTCTTAATATTCACCAAAGTCTGTGGCATAGCTGCATCAGTCTGTAGATGTCTGCCTCCACCTGAGAACCTGAGTTTACATGTGTGCCACGCTTTCTCATATTCTTCAGTTTGTTGTGTGACACTGTTCTGTGTTAGTAACGCAGTATTTCACCTTTTTTTAGTGAGGTGTTTTCTTAATTGTACATGAGAACTTACATTCCTATGTATAAACAAGGTTGTCTTGTTTAGTGTTTAATAATTTGAGCAGTAAAATAAACTGGGATTTTTTTGAAGTTGTATGCTTTTGTAAATAGTTTGTACAGCTGAAAAAATTGCCGCCTCTTCACAGGCTTTGTTGAAATAGGCATTAGGTAGCAATATATTTGTTCAGTTTTCATTATACATGTCTGTAAGTCACAGTAAGGTTGACCACATTACTTAAAATATGCTGAATACCCATTTTACAGCGCGCAGGCTCTGCAAATGCAACCTTGTCAGGTAAGACACCATGCCTAAACCACTTGGCTGAGAAACACTGACTGGCAGGTGAAAGGCGAGTTGTAAACTAGTTGATGGCAGAAGATGACTGTCAGCAGCGTAGCACTACTTGGGCGACTCGGTAGTTTTGATGGTCTTGATATAACAGTGGTGTGATACACAGCCATTATCTGCAATGTGTCTTTATTATTAGATCTTCTATGCAGTAATCTTTGCTGTGTTGCTGTGACCTGCTGGTGATTTGAGGGATGTTGGCCATCTTTGCTGCAAGGGTGCCTGTGGATGGCTCGTGTTCCCCTTTTTCATTAAGACCCCCCAAGGCTTTTTCGGCAAAGCTGCTTTCCAGCTGTCTGGCCCCTGTGTGTGCTGATGTCTGGGTTGGTTTGTCCCCAGGGGCAGGACTTGGTGTTTCCCTTTAAACTTCTTGAGATTCATGGGTCACCTCACTGTCTCCTGCCTGTTGGTGTCCCTGTGAATGGCAGCGCACCCCTCTGGGGTATTGACCTCTCCTCCTGGTTTTGTGTTACCTGCAAACATGCTGAGGGTGAGCTCTGTCCCATCACCCATCTTGTTTAATGAAGATGTTAAACTGTCCTGTCCCTGACCCCTAGCGTACAGCAGTAAGTCCAGGTCTGCAGCTGGGCTTTGTGCCACTGGTCCCAGCCCTTGGAGCCTGGCAATTGAGGCAATTTTCTGTTCTCAGAGGCCTGGGATTCCTGAGGGCTGCTCTTGCTGGTAATGACAGAAGCAAAGGTGGCAGTGAGTACCTTGGCCTTTTCCCTGTCCCCTGTCACCAGGTCCTCTGCTCCACTCAGCTGTGGTGCCCTATTTTCCCCTAGTCTTCGTGATGCTGATGATATGTCTACTAAAGCTTTTCTTGTTGCCCTTCACTACGCTTGCCAGATTCTACTTCATTTGGGCTTTGGCTTTCCAATCCCCCTCTGTCTGTGCTTGGATAGTACCTCTATCATCCTCCTAAGTGCCCTGCTGTAGCTTCTACCTCTTGTACG